GTCTAGTATACATCTGTTTGATATACGCCATGTCTAGTATACATCTGTTTGATATACGCCCTGTTTGATATACGCCCTGTCTAGTATACATCTGTTTGATATACGCCCTGTCTAGTATACATCTGTTTGATATACGCCCTGTCTGGTATACATCCTGTTTGATATACGCCCTGTTTGGTATACGCCCTGTCTGGTATAAATCCGGTTTGATATACGCCCTGTTTGGAATACGTTCAAGTATCAGGAAAGAATCAAAGACGTATATGAAGGGACCACTGTATCGTCCTTACATTCAATTGCAGGGTAAAACGAACTGCACTAAAGACACTCCGATATAGTGAGACAAACCTGGAGGAAACACGAGGTCAGACAGACATTTGAGAAAACACCGGGTGAGACAGACACTGGAGGAAGCACGTGGTGGGACAAACACTGTTTAAGCACGTAGTGAGACAGACACTGGAGAAAGCACGTGGTGAGACAGACACTGGAGGAAGCACATGGTGGGACAAACACTGTGGAAGCACGTGGTGAGACAGACACTGGAGGAAGCACGTGGTAAAACAGACACTGTGAAAGCACGTGGTGAGACAGACACTGGAGGAAGCACGTGGTGAGACAGACACTGGAGGAAGAACCTGGTAAGACAGACACTGGAGGAAGAACGTGGTAAGACAGACACTGGTGGAAGAACGTGGTAAGACAGACACTGTGGAAGCACGTGGTGAGACAGACACTGGAGGAAGCACGGGGTGAGACAGACACTGGAGGAAGCACTTGGTGAGACAGACACTGGAGGAAGCACGTGGTGAGACAGACACTGGAGGAAGCACTTGGGGAGACAGACACTGGAGGAAGCACTTGGTGAGACAGACACTGGAGGAAGCACTTGGGGAGACAGACACTGGAGGTAGCATGTGGTGAGACAGACACTGAAGGAAGAACGTGGTAAAACAGACACTGTGGAAGCACGTGGTGAGACAGACACTGGAGGAAGCACGTGGTGAGACAGACACTGGAGGAAGCACGTGGTGAGACAGACACTGGAGGAAGCACGTGGTGAGACAGACACTGGAGGAAGCATGTGATGAGACAGACACTGGAGGAAGAACGTAGTGAGACAGACATTGGAGGAAGCATATCTGAAACGTTGAAGTGGGGAATGTGCCTAAAATACCGTCTAGTTTCTGGAGAACTCCAGGCCAGGAATCCCGAGACATAAACAATACATAATTATAATATTCAAATTCTAGGAAACACTACAAGAGATGCATTCCTTAGGAAGTAGCTGTGAACAGATCTACTTCCCTGTGGGGGACAGCTTTTGTGTAGAATTGGTTGTTCAGAAATGTTGAAGCCAATATTACATTTAGACAGACAAATATTTAATGACATCGTGGTCGTCATCATCATATTCATGGTTTTTTTCTTAGTGGTATGCAACAGTACGCACTACTGGCACCTTTTATAATCAGTATTTTTTTCTAAAGCTACTTTATTAGACACTTTGTAGTGACCTGAATATCCAACCTTTTTTAAAATGTGTCTGGTGTGTATCAGCATCTTTTTCTTTCTGGAGAGAAAGAAGAGGGAGGGGGGGGGGGGTAGTTGGTTATCCTTAATCACCATCAAAATATTTATAATTAGCATCACTATTATCAATTTTGCCATTATATTTGTCATTATCAAAAACACGGAAAATATTCCGGGAAAGTACAGTAAAGGCCACTTTTATTATATTAATCGCCAAAGTCCAAAAGTGGACGAACAACTAAGACTTTTCTCCAGTGTTAACAGCCGGTGAACGCGAAGAAAGGAGGAGGAGAAGAAGAAGAAGAAGAAGAAGAAGAAGAAGAAGAAGAAGAAGAAGAAGAAGAAGAAGAAGAAGAAGAAGAAGAAGAAGAAGAAGAAGAAGAAGAAGAAGAAGAAGAAGAAGAAGAAGAAGAAAAGAAAAAAAGAAGAAGAAAAAGAAGGAGAAAAAAGAAGAAGAAGAAGAAGAAGAAGAAGAAGAAGAAGAAGAAGAAGAAAGAAGAAGAAGAAGAAGAAGAAGAAGAAGAAGAAGAAGAAGAAGAAGAAGAAGAAGAAGAAGAAGAAGAAGAAGAAGAAGAAGAAGAAGAAGAAGAAGAAGAAGAAGAAGAAGAAGAAGAAGAAGATGAAGATGAAGAAGAAGAAGAAGAAGAAGAGAAGAAGAAGAAGAAGAAGAAGAAGAAGAAGAAGAAGAAGAAGAAGAAGAAGAAGAAGAAGAAGAAGAAGAAGAAGAAGAAGAGGAATTAAAGAAGAAGAAAAGAGAAGAAGAAGAAGAAGAAGACCAAAAGTAGAATTTTAAGAAGAAGAAGAAGAAGAAGAAGAAGAAGGAAACAGAAGAGAAGGATTCGGTAAATAAAAGAAAAAGAAAAAGAAGAAGAAGAACCCCAGAAGAAGAAGAAGAAGATTAAGACGAAGAAGAAGAAGAAGAAGAAAGAAGAAGAAGAAAAGAAGAAGAAGAAGAAATAAAAAAAAAAAAAAAAAACAAACAATATGAGAAGAAGAAGAATAGAAGAAGAGAAGAAGAAGAAGAAGAAGAAGAAGAAGAAGAAGAAGAAGAAGAAGAAGAAGAAGATTTTGAGGAATTACATTTATGATTCTCTTGACTCAAAAGTATCAGTTATAAATGCAATAAGCCTTTTAAAGTGGTAACAGACCAGGCGGATTTGGTAAATATAATTTTATAAGAAAAGACACGTTCCTACCCCATCAATTATATTATTTACGTCTAAGACAGACAAAAGATGTGTAACTGTTTTACTTGAAGTAATACTGAAAGAATGTTTACAAACAATATGAGAAAGGCTTGAATAGAACAGACGAATGCTGCCAACCCCATTAATTAAACGGGAAAACGCATCTCTACAATAGAACATTCCTATTACCTTTACCCTTTGACATGCGTTCCAAAGACGTGCTATGTAAAACTTTGACCTTTGCACTTTGCACCTTTTTCACCGACGGAGCAGGAGAGGTATGTACCTTTAGGTTTCGCTCAATTTTGTGTTTGTATGTGTTTATCACAGGTATAATATTGTTCAAGATATGATATAAGTGTGTGTTGTATAAGGACATCAAAATTCGCAGGTTTGATTATATTTCCGCTAGTTTAATACACGTTACTAATGATATTGCCGTTGCTGAACCTGCTGCTGTCGTACATCTTACTGGTACCGCTGTTGGTACGGCTAAAAAGTTAGTTGCGTATGGCCAGCAGCTGGGATCCAACCCGGCATCGTGGCATTACGAAACGTTCGCATCGACTTAGATACAGAGCCGACATTGGTACGGCTAACCACAGATAAATCTCATCGCTAATCCCGTACATAAAATTACTACTGATTAGGATGCTTATTTTGCTGCTGCTGCTATTGTTGCAACTACTAGTTTTACGACAACTATAACTACTTCTACACACCACCACCACCACCACTACAACAACAACAACAACACCTGCTGCTACTACTGTTACTACTGCAGCGACGACGACCGCATCCTCATCATCAACAGCAAGAGCATTACCAACTATTAATACTGTTGCTGCTTCTTGCTGATGTATCTACGACAGCCGTTATTACCACAACTGCTACCGTTACTACTACCACTAACACTACTACAAACAATACTACACGACTGCTGCTACTACGGCAACCATCACTACTATACAACAACAACAACAACAGCTACTATCACCACCACTACTACAATCAGCACCACCACCACTATTGTAATCACTACTACTACTACACTACTACTACTACTACTACTGCTACTACTACTACTACTACTACTACTACTACTACTACTACTACTACTACTACTACTACTACTACTACTACTATCACCACCACTATTACTTCTACCACTAACACCACTGCTATGTCGTGGGGTTAGATGTGTGTTGTAGCGAATGTTTATAATTGACCTTGAGCGTCCAGCCGGGCCCAGCCTGAAATGGCTAGCATTAAATATCCTGGGAGATAAAGACCCCTTTTCCTAATCTGTACTGTCAGTAACAGGAGTCAGTGTGTTAGTTTCGTAGTCTGTACATTCTTGAATGTTATCGTTGTTTCGCTTTATCTGCCTACAAAGTGTATTATTTATATCAGTTAATTTAGGTTCCCCCCTTTCCCTTCTGTGTCCCCTGTATCTTTCATATATGTATGCATTCATCGTTAACCTTATTATGTCAGGGTGCTGCGTGGTATCGATGCATGATGTCCGCCTCGAGTGCTAGAGGTTCCGGGTTCAATCCCGGTAAGGGCTGGGATTTTTTCACGTGGACTTGGACTTCTAGTAATTCCCCCGGATCTCTGGGTAGTGAGATCGGACGCCTGTGTGCATTGTTTCGCACCTCAAAAAATCCCTTGGCAGTTGGAAATCGAAAAGAGTAGCCTATCGGTGCTGCCTGGGCAAAATTTGGAAAGAAAAATCTACTCTCAAGTATTTCAGGATCCTCGCTGGTGCTACAGAGCCTGTGCACTGTGCATCAGACTTGAGTGACAAGAAGAACGGAGCTCTAATGGGTTACTACTCTTCTGATTTAATGTTGATTCGTTGTTCAAGCCTCAAACCTCAAACGGGTAGTGAGCATACTTTGGAACTTTTTGAGTGATGCTTCTTCTGATTTGTTGGCATAATATAACGAATCTGATGTCTCCCACTGGGACATTGATAGTTGGAGCAGGAGGCCGGGAGCACATGTATTATTATCCAAGCAAAAAACATTTCATAGAACAAAGATCGTATTTATGTGTGAGTGTGTGCGCGCATGTCAACGTGTCAGCGCGCATGCGTGTGTGCATGTATGCATGTTTGTTAGTATTCTTGAATGCATGCGTGTGCGCGCGTTTCTATGAACGTGATTGTATGCGTGTGCCGGTTTGTATGTGCATGCGCATGTGCGTGCGTCTGTGTGACAATTGATTAACACATTTTTCCCCCCTTTATTCAGTTACTAACAACTTGTAGACAACATGAGCTTAAAAAAACTGGCAACAGTTTTCGTCTCCCGACCTTGTCCTCCACAAGGACTGGAGAGACTGCGGAGACACTGCAATGTTGTCCTTAATGACAGCGAGACCAACCTCACCAATGAGGCATTCATCAAAGCCATACCTGGAGTCGATGCCTTGTTCATTTTCCCACCTGCTCCCATCAACAAGGAGACCTTGGATATCATTGGTCTGTAGAGCCATCGTTGCTGCCACCGTTGTTTTTAGTTGTGTAGATTACAGAAACGTGTTTAAATGTATTCTTTTGAGAACTTAATTAAATATAATTAAATATATGAGATTCGCCCGTGTGTCACCGGAGCCCTCGCGGGAAGCAAAGAATAGTGACACTGCACCCTACCAGGCATGTCGTAAGAGGCGACTAAGGGTAGGGTTGGGATTGAGGTTGGCTACCCCATCCTGTAAAAACCATAGCCACAAAAACCAACCAACCATGGATAAGTCAAAAAAAAAAGAAGCAAGTAAAATCCAGCCAACCAAGAGGAGGGGAGGCTCTTCAAATAGAAGAAGTATGACACGGTGTGGAGAAAGTCGTAAGGAGTCCGGATCGTTGACATACCTCCTCTCAGCTAGGAAAACCTCCAGAATTGGCATCTGGAATGTTAGAACTCTCTATAAAATAGGGAGAACAATGAAAGTAGCAAATGAAATGAAACATTATAGAATTAGTATTTTAGGGTTATGTGAAACTAGATAGACTGGGGCGGGGAAAAGTATTCTAAATTCAGGGGAAACTATTTTGTTCTCAGGACACACAAAGGAAAATTCGCCCCACAGTGAAGGAATGGCCCTGATGCTATCAAAAGAAGCAGACAGGACACTAATAGAATGGGAAGCTGTGAGTCCCAGAATAAAAAGAACGTCATTTAGAACAGCGAAACAGAAGGTGAACATGTGGGTAATACAGTGTTAACGCACCAACAAATTATAAAGATGCATCTGTTAAGGAAGAATTTTACACGCAGCTTCAAAATATTATAAAAAATGAAAGAAGGGGCAATTAAAAAATATTGATGGGTGACCTGAATGCAAAGATGGGATCAGATAACAAAAGTTATAAAGAAATTATGGGAAGACATGGTCTAGGAGTAATGAATGAAAATGGAGAATTATTCACACATTTTTGTGCAGGTAACCAGTATGTTATTGGTGGAAGTATTTTTACCCATAAAAGAATACACAAGGCAACATGGGAATCACCAGACCATAAGTCAACCAATCAAATTGATCACCTATGTATTAACAAAACGTTTAGATCATCCCTTTACGATGTTAGGGCTTTCAGAAGTGCCGATGTATTTTCTGACCATTTCCTGGTGGTAAGTAAAATCAAGTTGAAACTAAAACGATATATAACATCTTATAATCATAGAAACCAATATAATGTACGTTATCTCAGGGATAACTTATCTAAGTTAAGGGACAGTTCTCAGTTACAGTCTCTAACAAGTACCAGATGTTGCAGCAGTTAGCTGAAGATGTCAGCACAGAAGTCTGCTGGGATCAGATCAAAGGAATCTGGAATGAATCTTGCGTAGAAGTTCTTGGCAAGAAAGAAAGGAAACATAAAGTGTGGATAACACCAGAAACCATTAAACTGATTGAAGATAGGAAAAGTAAAAAGGCACACTTAAACAATAGCAAAACTAGAGCTGCTAAAGCTAGAGCTCAGGAGAAATACATAGAAGCCAACAAGGAAGTTAGGAGGCACATAAGGGCAGATAAAGTGAAATATCTAAATGATCTAGCACAAGAAGCGGAGACAGCAGTAGCAAAAGGAAACCTCAGAGAACTTTACAGTAACACAAGAAAATTAGTAGGTAAATATAGTCAGCCAACTGGATCAATCAAAAATGGTCAAGGAAAAGTACTTACTAACACGAAAGATCATATGGACAGATGGGTGGAATATTTTGAAATGCTTCTAAATAGACCAGGCCCAGAGGTTCCCCAGATATCCAGCCACTAGAAATGAAACTGGATATCGACTTCGAGATACAATCCAAAGAGGAAATTCGAAAAGCTATCAATCTTCTCAAGGAAGTAAAGGCGGCAGGCCCAGATGGTATCCGAGCTGAAGCCACCAGGGCCAACATAAACACATCAACAGAATTGCTACATAGATTTTTCATTAAAGTCTGGGAGACCGAAGAAATACCAGTAGACTGGAGAGAAGGATATCTTGTAAAACTGCCCAAAAAAGGTGATCTACAGGAGTGGGAAAACTATAGAGGAATTATGTTGCTGTCCGTTCCTAGAAAAATATTAAGTAGACTCATACTTATGTTTTGATGTCTTAATAACGGTGTTACTTAAATGGTTCTGTTTGTGAGTTTATTTCTGTCAAGACATTTCTACGATCAGACGCCTACTGAAGGAGACAGATTACTTTTCTGTGTGTCCGAAGAGCCATGACAATGTTTACTTTGTGTCATCCTTCCTGACAGCCGAAGTCTTAGATGTCTGTATGTGACAACGGAAGTATTGTTTGTTTAATATGAAACCAAAGTCTGTCTTGTGTTTGTTTAAACATAAAATGGCAAGACAGGATCCCTACCACTGAAGTCCTTGACAGAGCTGGACTGTCCAGTATTTAAAAGATTCTAAAACAATCACAACGTCGAAGGGCAGATCAAAAAGTCTGCATGCTTGACCACCGACTGCCAACAAGAATTTTCTATGGTGAGCTACTAAAAGGAAAACAATGGACAAAAGAAACGTTTCAAGGACAGTCTCGAGAGTTAAATGACAGACTTCTGTATTGATCCTAAAACCTGGGAAGTCGCTGCATGTGACCTGTTATCCTGGGCTAATCCCTTCACCAAGGAGCTGTGGCCCATGAAGCTGCTAGAACTGCAGCGGCAGTTCAGGAAAGACAAGCCGGGAAAGACGCGGAAGCAAATCACCAGAGAAATTCGGCCTCGGTTCCCTGTCCACATTGCTCAAGAACTTTCAGTTCTACAATTGGCCTTATCATCCATCTGTGCACTCACAAAACCTAATCCATTGGATGAAAGGACTGGTCATCTTCAGTTGTGATGGATGATCAACAACAATTGTTTGTCTGATGAGAAACCGTAGTCTGTCTCGTTTTTGTTTCCTATGACGTTGATTCTCCTACAGGTCCTCAGCTCAAAGTGATTGGGACCATGTCTGTCGGCCTTGACCACATTGACCTAGCAGAATGCCGGAAGCGGGGAGTCAAGGTTGGGTACACACCGGATGTTCTCACTGATGCCGTAGCAGAACTGACTGTGGCCTTGACATTGGCTACCGCCAGGCGCTTTGAAGAAGGTAGATTTAAACAGAAACAATAAAAATAACAACAACACGGAGGAGCAGAATAGTAGAGGAGGAAGAGAATGGTGAAGGAGGAGGAGGAGTACGGTTGTTGCGAGGAAGATCTTGGAAGATGACGAAGTGGTTATAGAGGAAGGAGGTAGTTGTGGTGGTGGATGAAGGTGGCGGAAAAGGAAGATGATGAAAAAGCAGGAAATGGAAGAGCAGAAGAGTTGTGGAAGAGCAGGTGGAAGAGCAGGTGATGATGGAAGAGCAGGTGGTGGTTAAAGAGCAAATGCTGGTAGAAGAGCAGGAGATAGTGAATGGAGCATGTGATGATGGAAGAGCAGGTGATGGTGGATTTAACTACTTGAATTATAATAAGTTGACATCAGTTATGATTCCCGCAGGTTTCCAGGCTGTGAGATCTGGAACTTGGGGCACGCGTTGGGAGAACGCCCTATGGCTGACGGGAAAACAGATATCTGGGTCAGTGATCGGCATTGTGGGCCTGGGTAGGATCGGTTTTGCCACCGCCAAACGTTTGGCTGCCTTTCAGCCTGCCAGAATTTTCTACACTGGAAGATCTCCTAAAGATTACGCCAAGGAAATCGGCGCAGTTTTCCTCACATTTGAGGAACTTCTAGAAGTGTCTGATTTCGTCATCGCTACGTGTTCAATAAATGAAACAAATAAAGGATTGTTCGGAGCTGAAGCTTTTAAGAAGATGAAGACTTCTGCCATTTTTATCAACGTTACGCGCGGAGCCTTGGTTGATCAAGATGCATTGTATGAAGCCTTATCAACCAATCACATTTCTGCTGCCGGGTTAGATGTGACCACTCCAGAGCCGCTCCCGCCGGACCACAAGCTTCTGACACTGAAGAATTTTGTGTTGACCCCACACCTTGGCAGCGCAACCTCGACAACGCGTGAGGCGATGTGTGAACTGACAGTAGATAATATACTTGCTGGCTTAAACGACCTTCCGTTACCATCACCTGCGGTCTAACCTTGAAATCTAACTGTTGTAGTGTTCTTCTCACAAACTGTGTGCAATTAATCGTCAATAAACAGGTCCTTTACACAACGTCGCTCTCGTCAGGGCAACTCTGAAAGTATCTCTTTCTGTAGCAAATTTCCAGTCCACTGTGCTTTTAGAGCCAGTGGATTTTCAATGTCTTGTATCCATCTATGGGGATGTCTGCCTCTGCTTCATTTTCCAGAAACTATGCCTGCCATCACCGTTCTCTCCGGACCACTATGGCGTTTAACACAGCTAAAAATACCGCATCTTTCATAACAGGATGCTGTTTACGAGCCAGTTCTCCCCCATGCTGAGATCACTGAGGGTGTCTGGAGTTGTTATTTCTTGGTGCATGGTTTGTGAAGAATAGTTGTCTTACATTTCTGTTGATAAGCTCCGATTGTATTTCTTCAGTGATTCCTGGAATCAGTGGTTTCCGGTCAGCTACCGATTGTATTTCTTCAGTGATTCCTGGAATCAGTGGTTTCCGGTTAGCTAACAGCTGCCGACCCCCTCTGGATTTCGAAGGTTGGCTCCACACCTTATACTCTTTAATAAGCATAATCGATAACATGTTATTCTTTATAATTATTAGAATAATGAACAAAACTGCCTTCTGAGGTTGAGTTTATTTATTAATTAATTATTGTTGTTGTTGTTGTTGTTGTTGGTGTTGTTGTTGTTGTTCTGTGTGTGTTGGCGGGTGTGTAAACGATATCCATCAAATAAATCAGGTGCCGACTCCGCAGTGGAGGTTGGCTGCTATGGATCTCAAACATTCTTGGCTCTCTTATCTCTATGGGTTTCGAGGCAAGGGTCCAACAGTCTGCATAAAATAAGCCAGATATGTAAAACGGTTGTACACGAAAAAAAAAATTAAAATCCAGAAGTGGACGAACAACCTGAACTTTCCTCTGGATTTTACAGACCGTTAACGCGAAGAAGAAGTCTGTTGTCTTGGTAGTAGTAAACTCTCTCAGACCACTGTTCGTCCATCTCTTGATGTTTTCCTTCCACATGCATCGTTGTCTGCCTTTTGCTATTTTGCCTTAGACGTTTCTCCATTATGATTTTTAAAAGAGTGTAATGTCTTTTAATGGTACTTGATATTAGGGACCACAATATTTTTTTCGTGGACCAAAGGGGGGTCCTAGATCAGTTTCTGGAACCATCAAACGGGACACTTGAGTGGCTTCTCTCGATTTTCGAAACAGGACTGGCTGTTGCGAGGCGCTATCAATTCTCTGTGCAAGCGTTAGCAGTTTAAGATTACACTTGAAAGGTTATCGGATGCTATATTCACATTGATATAAGCAGTCAATCAGTGCGTGAAATATGTCTCATATTTTCTCGATCCACATATGAAAACAAGTTGAAGAACACTGATACAGTTGACTTATCTGAAAGCCTAACATACAAACCTCCATTCGGACGATTGTTGACACCTTGTTCTTGCTATGCTACCAGAGTTCTAAAGCTTTTGACATTTGTTTCTATTAGGGGTTTTCATCATTTTGATTTTAAACACGTTTTATACTGCTATTAATCTTCGTGGTAGTGATGATGATGATGATGACAGAAATGGTGATGATGGTTGTGGTGATGATAATTATTTTGATGATTAAGGAATGCTGCTGCTCACAAAACGCGTCAAACATTTTGAGTTCAAACACGTTTTTCTTATTATTGCTGTTATTGATGAAAACGATGATGATAGTGACGATGATGATGAAGATAATGATATTGATGATAATAACGTTGATGAATATGATAATGATGAATTTATGGTGTAATTTACAAGCCTCATCAGATCGACTTGTTGACAATTATATAATTTTAATAATGTCTGTCTGTCCCCTACTTATTTGCTGTTTTGTACATCTACTTGTCTGCGAATTTATTTCGTTGTCTGCCCGCGTGTCTGCTCTATCAGTTTCATTTGTGTAGGGTTCTAATCACACTAGGTAGTGAGTGCAGGGACTGGCCAGCTGGTGCTGCAGAATCAGAAGTTCAACAAAAGATTCATGAATATCCCCACCCAAGTGATGTGATTATCTATACAAACGGCTCTGTGTTGAGGGGCAGACGAAGTGCGGGTGTGGGGGGGGGGGGCAGGGGGTTAATAGCAAAAGTGAATGGACGTCACCTAGTGTACCAACGACTTGCATATAATTTCACAACGTCTAGTTTGAGAATGGAGGTAGAGGCAATCTCCGCCGCCTTTCACTGGCTTGAGAATCAGCTGTAAACACATGCCGTATTTGTAACTGACTCACAGAGCATGTTAAGAAAGGTGATTACAGGCATGCTTCGTACAGAGTGGCAAGCATCGCTTCAGAGGTCCTGGGTAGTTTGCATCCTTTTGATATTTTCTCCAAGGTATGCCAGTGAGTTGGAAAATAAGCAGATAGATAGACTGGCTGGCTAGGCACCACTTCGTGGTAATTTGATGTATGACAAGTTAGATATTGTGAGGGCCTTTTGGGAAAGGGTGAACAGTGCAGAGACGCAGATGGATCATTACGGTCTGAGGAGAATGGCGCTGCGAGGAGTTACCAGGGGATCTGGCCGACGCTCAACCCTCAGAGGAAGGATGAGACGGATATACAATCAGGCAGTTACTGCCACCATTGAATTGGAAACTCTTCGCTTGCTGCTGAATGATAGGGGACTGTGCATTTATGGGAGTGCCCCGGGTGGCTGTAATGTCGATTCTTAATTCAACATTCAACATTCAGTTTCCCATTTTGATTGCCATTAACGATCAAATGTCACGTACTCTACAAGGTCTAGACGAGGACACTATGAAAACCTCTGCGGTGCTGGAGAAGTACAAGATAGGCCCACATGTTTGTTCTAATCTTATTTGTCATTGTAGTGCGATTATTCTTGAAGATCACAAGTCAGTTCAACTGTCACCACTGATCTCTTTGTTTAACTCTCTGAATACCTCATGTCAGAAATCTGTGATGATCATTTACTGTCGTGGTTGGGAAAGTCCAGACTGGAGGCACTTACTTTGTAGTGGTTAGCATTTATTTGTAGTTAACAAAGCAGAGAGAGGAGAGAGGACGAGGAGAGAGAGAGAGAAAAAACAGAGAGAGAGAGGGTAGAGAGAGAGAGTGTGAGTGAGAGAGAGAGAGTGGAGAGAGAGTGGCGAGGGAGAGAGAGAGAGTTGAGGAGAGAGGGAGAGAGAGAGAGAGAGAGGGAGAGAGGGGGAGAGAATCGT